AGACAACTGGTTGTTGTTAGGGAATCTCAGTGCATTCCTCCTGCAATAGAATTGCGTATCTATTTGCATAGTTATTATCATCGGTTGATTGCGTTGGGAGTGCAGTTCATCTGTTACTTTTTTAAAAAATTTAATTAAATTATTTTAATATGTTGATGATAGATATAAATTTCATAAAATAAAAAAAAATAATATTTTAAAATATTTCAAACAAAATAAACTTTGAAAAACAATCTTTACTATTATTTTAATATTTTTTTAATTTAGTTTGAAAGGTGGATTTAATAACTTAATAACTTAAAATTTAATTTGGATTATTTTAGATAATGATATGATTAAATTTAAATAACTTAATAAATTAATTTGTGATATTATTGACTCGATCAAATACCTAGAAAAAAATGAGATTATAAAGGGAAAATCTTGAGGTTTTTTTTTTAAAAACTAAAATAATATTATTTTGAATTGATTGATAATTCATAAGTTTACGTGATAAATACTTAACTAGTGAAATCTGATTGGTAATTCATAAGTATACGTGATAAATACTTAACTAGTGAAATCTCGAGATGGATTTGAGAAATATCCTTATTCGATATTAGAAGAGAGGTTCATTTAATTATGACAGGAACATCAATAGTTACAACTACAGTCCAATCTATAAACAAATAAATTCTATACGTTTAATTATTATGATGGATCCTTTCTTCGCCTTGTTCAATCTTCCATTCATCTTTTCCTCGTTCCAAAATTTATGCTTAACTCCTGATATGATATTGACTTGATGATTGATGTTTTTATATCTAATTTCATTCTTGACTTGCAAGCTATGATCTTTTCCCAGCCTCACCATAATAATGCTACGAGCAGGTTTTATGAGGTCTGTCTAGCTAGCAACACAGCAATGGCTACAAAGCTCCTTGTCTCCCTCTTGTTCCAGAGGTTCAAAGCTCCTCCACCTGTCTTCATTTGCTGATGTGTTGAACAAGTGCACGACCGACATTGATGTCGGATCCTCACCTGGCATGCATCCGGTAGCCTGCCAAGAAGTACAAGAGAGTTCTAATTGGTGCCACTGTAAGATACAGCCGTTTGCACGGTGGCCGGTTTCCCCCGTCGTGTCCAACGTGGAGATGCATGGCAGAGCTATGTTTGCAAACGTGAACCATCAACCACATTCCAGATATTGAGTTCTCCATCGTATGATTCTATATGACCTTTCCAAGCATTCAAGCAATCCCCGGAGCTATATAAGTTTCCTTCAAGAGCTGCTGTTTGATTAGGTGGCGCATCTAATTGCCACATCCTTACTACGAGATCCTACCTGTCATGCTCCGAGTCGCGCACCTCAGCAGAACACCGCTCCAACTTGTGCCATGGAACCCATGTACTACTTTCTCAGCAAATCCCCCAACCACATGGATCTTTCCTTGCCATGTCACCTCAACACATTTGCACCTTATTGGGCTCATGTCAGGCAATGCTTTCCACTCGTCAAGTGCCCCGTCATACACCTCAGCCAACGAAATCCCACGTGGACAAGCCGACGAACGTGTTACAATACTTCAATGATATATTTATATTAATTTAGGACAATTCAAGAAACTTAGAAGATAAATATATCTTTAATATTTATACTTAAATCTAGAAGACAATTAAAAAAACTAAAAGATACTTTAAATAAAAACTTCAAAATTAATTCCAACATAAGAAACCTTCATGCCAGCTCGCACAATCAAATCCTTCTGCACCTTGATCACCCACCGAACTGCCATCGACATTGAGTTTAAGCCACCTTCCATTAGAGATATTAGTTAGAATCCAGGAATCCTTAATCTAGACGGATTTGTGTTAAATTAATTAATTAGAATTAAATAGTACATTAGAATCCTTATTAGTCTCTACAAATATAAATAAAATATATAAAGAACTTAAATGCGTGGTAAGCAATAAAAACTTGAAAGATTCATGTACTTGTGAGTTTAGATTTTAATAATTAGTTTAAGATTTTCAAAAATCCAGCGAGGCTGCTGAGACCTCATCAAAAAAACAACAGTGTTCAATATTTTGCAGCCCAGCCCATTCCATATACATCCCTGGAAAGAAGTAGTCACACAGTCGGCTACAACAACAACGTCCGCTGCATGCACAATCCTATATAAATAAGTAGTAAACTACAACATCATTGTCTTAAGTAAGCCCTCTCTCCCGCTCTAATCACAATTTTTTTTAATATTCTGATTATTTGTTTTAATTCATTCCGAAATTATAGGAGGAGAAGAATCGGGTGTATTTATTTTTGTTATAGAAGGAAGTTGGCTCGTCAAAATATTGATGGCTGGAAAGAAGGCATCCGGGCGTGGTGATGAGAACGCGGCTTTGGGTGGTGGAGGGAAGTCAAGGAAGAAGGGGTTGGTGATTGGTAATGATGATCAGTATTCGAGTGGTACTGAGTTGTCGGAGAAGAAGGGGAATCATGAGGGAGAGGAAGGGGAGGATGAGCAGGTGCCGGGAGTTGTGCTTGTTGCCGTGAAAAAGAAGTTGAAAGAGAGGAAGATTGGTGCTGGTGGGAATACTGGTTTTAATTGGTCGAATTTTGGGTTATTGGGAGGTGGTGATGAGGATGATAATGATGGTGATGATGAGGAGATATCCAAGTTGACTGGTGAGAAAGATAGTGAGGAGGAGGAGGAGGATGAGCCGGTTGTGAGTTTTAAAGGGAAGAAAAAGGGCAAGGGCAATAAGAAGAGTGGTGGTGGTGGTGGTAGTGTGTTTAGTGCTTCGGGATTTGATGCTACCGATGATGGAGATCAGGTGGTGGATAAAGATAGGGATGATGACGATGACGTGCCTGTCACTGAATTTACGGGGCAGAAGAAGAAGTCGTCAAAGGGTGGTAAGAAGGTTGCTGGGAGATTTTCATCCAAGTCTAACAAAAAGAGTGTTAATAATAAGTTTAGTGCAGCATTGCTTGATGAGAAGAGTGAAGATCAGGTGGAAGAAACTTTGAAGCACGAGAAGAAGAAGAAGAAGAGTAAGAGTGCAAGGGATGCTCAAGAAGAGGATGATTTGAATAAGATTCTTGAGGAGCTTGGTGACGCGCCACCAACTTCAAAATCCTTGGCACCACCTCCACAAGAGGAGAAACCCAATCTTCAGCCTCGACCAGTTTCAATGCCAGATTCTATGGCTGAGAAGGAGGGTGAAGATGAAAAAGAAGAGTCTGCTGCTGCAAAGAAGAGGAAGAAGAAGAAGAAAGAGAAGGAGAAAGAGAAGAAGGCAGCAGCAAAGGAAGAAAGACTGGAAGAAGCAAAAGCTGAAACAATTGAGCCAAAAAAGACTGATGCAAAGGGTAAAGGTGCTGAGAAGAAGCTTCCAAAACATGTTAGAGAGATGCAAGAGGCACTTGCTAGGCGAAAAGAAATGGAGGAGAGAAAGGCGAGGGAGGAAGAGGATAACAGGAGGAAGGAAGACGAGGAAAGGCTAAGGCAAGAAGAACTCGGGAGGCAAGCTGAAGAGGCTAGGCGTAGGAAGAAGGAAAGGGAAAAGGAGAGACTCTTGAAGAAGAAACAGGAAGGCAAGCTTCTAACAGGGAAGCAGAAGGAAGAACAACGGCGACTAGAGGCTATGAGGTATCAAATTCTTGCTAATGCAACTGTTACCGTCCCTAATGCAGAAAGAGATGGTGGGCCTACAAGACGACCTAGGTACCAGACTAGGAGGTCAAGACCAGTTCGCTATGAAGCAAATGGTTTCAGGATAGAGGAACCTGTAGAAGCTAAGGAAAAAGAGCAGGAAGAAGTCCACGAGGTGCAATCCTTAGAAATAGAGAAGTTTGAGCCAGTGGAGGAAGAGAAAACAGAAGTTGCTAATGAACTTGTGGAGGATGGAATGGAGGAAGATGACGATGATGAGGAGTGGGATGCAAAGAGCTGGGATGATGTAAATCTCAATGTTAAGGGTGCATTTGATGATGATGAGGATTCTGAGCCTGAACCTGTCTTGAAGAAGGAAACAAAAGGTCCTGCTCCAGCCTCTCGCAGTGCATTAGAATTAGTTTTTGCTTGATTTTCCTGTTGGATTATAAGTTGTATGTTCTCTTTTTACTATTTGCATTTGTTTCTGATTGCTAATCAATTTTTTTCCTTTCATTCTTTTACTATAATTGCAGCCCCTCCTGCAGCTGCACAGCCTGCAATTGCAGTGAGAAAACCTGTTACATCACAGCCAATGGACTCTCACGATGTTGAAAATAAGAAAAGTCAGGCTGAGGACGAAGTTTCTGTCAAACACTGGAAGAAAGATGCTGCTGCGAAAGGTAAAGGAGCGGTTTCAGATGTCATCCTTCATAAAGATGAAGAGGCCCTGCGCTCTCCAATTTGCTGTGTTATGGGCCATGTCGATACTGGCAAAACCAAGCTGTTGGATTATATTCGAGGTACCCATGTTCAGGAAGGGGAGGCTCGGGGTATCACACAACAGATTGGTGCAACATTCTTTCCTGTCGAGAACATACGAGACAGGACTAAGGAATTGAAAGCTGATGCAAGATTAAATGTTCCTGGTCTGCTAGTTATTGATACCCCTGGCCATGAATCTTTCACCAATCTACGGTCACACGGTTCAGGTTTATGCGACATTGCCATTCTGGTTGTTAACATAATGCATGGCTTGGAGCCGCAAACCATAGAATCACTCAATCTTTTGAGGAAGAGGAACACGGAGTTCATTGTTGCATTAAATAAGGTTTGTTTCTTCTTCTTTTCTCAACTTGATATAGGGATAGTGCTGTAATCTTCTCTTCGATTGATTCTAGATTCTATTTCTTTATCTTTTCAATTTTTCAGATCGACAGACTCTATGGATGGAAAACACAACCTAATGCACCTATTAGGAAGGCATTGAAGCAGCAGTCAAAAGATGTGCAAAATGAATTCGACAGGAGGCTCATAGAGGTCACCTAATTTTCTTGCTTCCTTCGAAGAGTTTTTATCATCTTGTTCCTTTCTTTAAATGTTTGCCTTTTCTCCTGAATCCCAGGTCATAACGCAGTTGAAGGAGCAAGGATTAAACACTGAATTGTACTATAAAAACAAGGACATGAGAGAAACTTTTAACATCGTACCTACAAGTGCGATTAGGTAAGCCCTAGATTTCCTAGTTTTCCATCACATTACTGGGCTGAGCCTCATTGGCTTTAAAATCTACCATGTTTTTTCCCTTGCATTCATTGTGCTAATGCTTTGGTTTTCTATATGTTTTAGTGGAGAAGGCATTCCTGATTTGTTGTTACTACTGATCCAATGGTCTCAGAAAACTATGGTTGAGAAACTCACGTTCAGAAACGAAGTGCAGGCAACTTTTATTTTTTACTATATATTAACACGCAGAATGCTTTAAGATAACACACATATCTGATTGCAATTCGGTACATTTTCCAGTGTACGGTATTGGAGATCAAGGTTACTAAAGGCCATGGAACAACAATTGATGTTGTGCTGGTTAATGGCGTGCTCCATGAAGGCGATCAAATTGTGTTTTGCAGCTTACAGGCAAGCTCAAAACTTCCCTTTTCCTGAAGATTTGTTGAACTGCTAGTTTCTGAGTTGTTGATAATTTATTTTGCTTCACAGGGTCCCATTGTTACTACAATTCGAGCTCTGCTGATGCCTCACCCAATGCAGGAACTCCGGGTTAAGGTGTGGTTTCGCTTTTTTTACCTCCTTTTATTTTCTCTCCATACTTCGTTCATATATATAATATGCGTGATCAGGGATTGATTTGGGCTTAACCCATCTTTTGACATGGTGTGTGTCAAAATTTCTCAATTTCACCTCTGTGTTTAGTGGTCATTTCTACCACAATTTCTCAGATTTCAGAGCAGCAACCCCTCCTCTCAAATACATTTGTTTTATTGGATTCTACTTTTCTGTGAATGAGTAAAAGTGTTGGTAGATTAGATACTAACCCCATGTTTTTCTTTATGGTTTTTTTTTCCACTTTCAGGGGACATATCTGCACCATAAGGAAATCAAGGCTGCACAGGGTATCAAGATCACTGGACAGGTGATTGTAATTCGCAAACATAGCAATAAAGACTAGTTTATGCTGTGCACATACATAGAACATGCCTCTACAGTGTTCGTAAATATTGTTAACTCCTGGTAATAAATTTTCTTGGTTTCTTTCTTGCATTGTTGTTTTATTCAGGGCCTTGAACATGCTATTGCTGGAACTAGTCTACATGTGGTCCGCCGTGATGATGATTTGGAAGAGGTCAAGGAATCTGCAATGCAAGACATGAAGTCAGTCACGAGTCGGATTGATAGAAGTGGTGACGGAGTTTGTGTACAAGCATCTTCCCTTGGCTCCCTGGAAGCGTTGCTGGACTTCTTGAAGTCCCTGGAACCAAGCATTCCTGTTAGTGGTATAGGCATTGGCCCAGTACATAAAAAGGATGTCATGAAGGCCAGTGTAATGCTTGAGAAGAATAAGGAGTATGCCAACATATTGGCATTTGGTGTTGAAGTGACACCTGAGGCTGGGGAACTTGCAGATAAACTAGGAGTGAAGATTTTCAAAGAGGATACCATTTATTGCATTTCTAAAGAATTCAAGGCTTACATTCAGAATCTGAAGGAGGAAAGGAAGAGGGAAGCTGCTGGTGAAGCCATTTTCCCCTGTGTTCTTGAGATGATACCAGAGTTCATTTTCAACAAGAAAGCTCCAATCGTCTTGGGGGTTGATGTTCTTGAGGGCATACTCAAGGTAAAACTATATTCTAAGGCATTTTGTTTTGTTTCCATTATTTCATCCATGAATACATTGGTGAGTTACTGGTCTCGTATTTCATGAACAGAGCTAACTGAGACATTGAAATATGCAACTCTGCTGTTTGAATGTTTCAGTACATATGTTTTTTGAAGTTCTTGGTTTCCTAGTTGTACAATGAACCAACAAGGTTTCTGGAGGATATACAGAATGCTAGGATGGTGTGAACATTTTCTTTTGGATGTTACGCATGCAATAATTTCAAAGATCAAAGCTGATAGTTGTAATAATCATTATGATTCATCGTATAGTAACCTTGTTTAAAGATTTATGTGGGTGAAGCCTACTGTATGCTTCTACAAATTTTTTACATAAACTATAAATTTGGCCATGTCAACATACATCTTCTTAGTTCCATTAGGATTCACATGCTTTGCTGTCCTCTGAAACTGTGTGCCCTTTTGCATAGGTTGGGACTCCAGTATGTGTTCTACAAAAAGACTTCACTGACATTGGTCGGATTGCTTCCATTCGGTTTAACGAGAAAGCAGTGGATCATGCAAAGAAAGGCCAGAAGGTGACTATAAAGGTATGGCACATTGTTGTTGATTGATTTAAATTAATTACTAGTTTGCAGCATAATTGTGGTAATGGAAATTCTATAATTTAGTTTTGTTAATTCAATGAGTGAAAGGTCTCACCTTTTTCCTTCGATTTTAAAAATTGAAAGCATGTATAGTCCAAAAGAAAAAAAGATTAGAACCATGGCAGAAGTAACAGTTGAATGATTATGAAGAAGGGGTACTAGAAAAACTCTATCAAACTACAGATTCAATCTCTGTTTTAGGTATCTTTCCTTGAAATTTCTCCATACTGTTCGAGTTGGTCTTATTTGTTGCTCTTTGGTGATATTGAAGATCGTAGGCACCAATCCGGAGGAGCAGCAAAAAATGCATGGCAGGCATTTCGACAATGATGATCAGCTAGTCAGCCACATTACAAGAAGGTCAATCGATGTTCTTAAAGCTTATTATCGGGTAGGTTTTATTCAATTCTGGATACAGTTTACATTTCATTGAATGCTAATATCAACTGTAATTGCTAATATTTATTTTTTTTATGCACAGGATGATCTGTCTATGGAAGATTGGAAGCTGGTTCTTAAATTGAAGACCCTTTTCAAGATACAGTAAAGCATGAGGGTTTGGTGCATGTTGGCACATACTTCGAAGGGGCTTGCTTTTACACCAACGATGGAGTCTTCCCTTGTAAAGATGAAAGAAGCAAAGAACATATTGATATTAAATAGCACAAATTTATAAAAAAAGAATTTCTTCTGTTTTCTTGTCGTGGTCGCCGTCGTCGCCATCGATTGTTGACATGAAGGATTCTTTGTAGTAGAATAAAAATCTCTCGTAAAACCCAAAGGGGAACATGAGAGAATCTCCCTCACGACAATTTCTTTGTTTTGTTTTTTCAAAATCTGGTGAAACACAGGATCGATCTGATATCTGACCCTTAATACATTAATTATTAATTAATTAATTTTATTGAAATATAAATTTGTAAGATTCATGTAATTTGTTGAAATATAAATATTTTGTTATTTATATATGATATCAAAAACGCCTTCACATTGTTTAAGGAATTGATGTTGTGATCAAGGATCTGAACTAGAGTTCAAATCTCTTCACCTTTCAACTGTCAGGGACAAAAACTTCAGACATAATTCTACTTGTAATTCTGTTGATGGTATTTAGAAGAAGAATAACTCTCATTTACTTGGTTTCATTCGTGAATTTCGCTGTAGTTTTGGAAGTTAAAAGTAAAATGTTCATGCCCTTAAGCATCTTTACACGCAGAGAAACACATCAGGCACGTGTTTAATGGGGAATATGGCAGCTCCTCTAGCATCAGAGTAGAACTGGGCATGAGCCGGTTGTCATAGGAGCATGTTCAGTAAATATGAAAGCCACCGGATACCGCACCAATGCTCAAATAATTGGCTCTCTGATTTCAAAAATTGAGGGCTGGACCAGCAGATATGTTTGTTTTTCTTTGCTGCAGTTCAGTACCATTTCTGCCAGCCCCCCTGAACTCTGCATTCTGAAACAATCTGGCTTTTCCGGTGAAAGGTTCCCTACGCATATATCTACGCCATTCATTTGACATACATGATTCCATACATTGTGCTAATCGTCCATGTTAAAATAGAGAAACACTTTACACATACAGGATCCTACGCATTATAAAACGTGCGGTTTTTCATTCCACGATGACCTTGTAATAGGTCCAAAATTACAGAAATCGTAGAATTAGCAGCCCTCCCTCTCTTGTTGTTTCATTGTCAAGGACGAGCAGTGATGGAGACTGTTCTCTTATGTGGGGAGGTGTGGCAGTGGTTATTTGACTGTAATTTTGATTGGAGACCATGTCCTTCCCTGTTTGGGAGCTAGGTTTCTATCAAAGTAAAATCTGCAGTCTGCAGTACAAATAAGTGATTGTCAAGTTGGTATCTAAGCTTTCAAATGGCTATATCTCTGGAAATCCCAACTGTTAATATGAACCAGAACCTAGATATAGAGTATAACCATCTCAACTTCTAATCTATTAAGTGACGTTCTCCTTAGACATTATATATTATTTTCTAATTATTTTTTTAAATAATTTTTTTTACTTAAAATTAATACATGCTCATATTATTTTATATTTAATTTTTATCAAATAAAATAAAAATAATATAATTTAAATTCGTGAAAATTTAATTAATAAAACTTCAAATTTATGTTAAAAAATTATTTTAACTTAAAATATAAAATATTAAAAATATAATTTATATTATATTTTAACAATTGTGTTTCACAAGAACATCCCAATTGTTGATGTTTGAAATTTTTATTAGAAGGTATCGTGTTTAAATTTCAAAAGAGAAGAGGTGGGAGTTCTTGAATAATGAAGAAAAAATAAATTAAAGGATTCTTTGGTGCGTTTCTGGTTTCAGATTTTTAGAAAAGGAATAAAAAAATTGTTTATTTTGATTTTTTTTATATATAAAAAAACTGTTATATTTTTTTAGAGTGAACTACTTTCAACGTCTACAATCACTAATTTTTTTTTTTAAATGCTCCAATTAAATATAGTGGATTTGAAAGCCACCCGACACTGGACCAATGCTCAAATAATTGGCTTTCTAAGCTTGCCTGTTTCAAACATTAAGGTTGCAACAGCAGACGTTCTTGTTCGGTATAGAGTATAGTTATGTTTATTTTTTAAAATATTTTTTATTTTAAAATATATTAAAATAATATTTTTATATTTTTTAAAAATATTTTTAATATTAGTAATTTAAAATGATATGAAAACA